AGAAATCTAAGAAGCATGACCTGGCACCGAGCAAGAAAGACCAAGGAGCATCGGGTAAAGGACCCTGTTCAGACCACCCGCCCACCCTGGAACCACATGAGGTGCCCCCCATGGGGGCTTCTACCCCCCTGAGGGATCCGCCACGGACTCCAGGCAGCAGTAGGGGTTCCAGGCTATTGGCAGAGCCGCCACTTTCCCAAGCTCTTCCAGCGCCCAGAGAGCAAAGGACTCTCTAGTGCAGTCAGCACCGCAAGTTGCAGTGGCCCCAGCAAAAATTCCCTACGAGGTCAAGCCAGTTGTAGTATCCTCCTAGAATGCAAGCGAATGCCGCTGGTCCCCGGAGCCGAGGCAGCGCTCTCCATTGCCATGCCATAGATCTCCATGTCCACCCAGGTTGCTGGTTCACCACTTCAGATCGCTGGCACTGTGCTTCCGGTGTTGGCCCTCTCAAGAAGGTTCACCCAGAGAGAGACACCGGTCACCATATGGCTGGCACCAGTCATCCTCTCGCCAACCGTCTCCGTGACGTAGGTTGCCGACACCAAGACTGTGGGAACATTCCCCAACGCGGTACTGATTCCCCCCTCCCCCCCCCCGCTTCCGGCTCCAATCCGCTTATTCAAGGCACTGTTCACCCATGGTGACAGTTAGTCACCAGACTCAGGGGTCGATGGCCGCACTGTGGTCACCAGAAGGGGATTCCTCCAGCTCAGAAAGGGAGTTCAGCCTCTCACTGAGGCAGTACTGGCGTGACTGGCCACCTGGGGCTGCATCCGCCTCCACGATTCCGCCCTGGCAGCAGGGCCAGTGGCCTTACTGGAGTGCTGGGGCAAGCCGGTTATGCTGATGCCTCCTTCGCACCAATCATCGGTAGCAACTTCAGAAAAGCAACGGACAGCATGGGTGGCACCAGGATTGGTGTACGAAGTGCAATCGGACACCAGGGTGGAGGAATGAGTGCCCACCCCCCAAAACCTCCTTCCCCCATGGGGGATGAAGCCCTAGGCCCTCCCCTGGTAGTCCAGTTGTCCTTATCCTCTCCAGATGAGGCTGTTGCGGGGCCCTCTCACGCTAGCCCACCAGACAATTTTAAGGAGCACCAAGTCCTGCTCCAAAGGGTGGCCACAAACTTCGGCCTAGAGGTGGAGGAGATGGCAGTGCTATCAGTCATCTTGTTTAATGTGCTCTCTGCATCAACCCTCGCACGTGTCTCACTTCTGGTGCACGATGGGGTCCTAAAGATTGCCAAAGCTCTTTGGAAACCCCATCCTCAATCCTGCCCACCTCCAGGAGGACTGAAAAGAAGTATTTCACCCTAGCCAAGGGGTTCAAGTACTTGCACATTCACCCTCCCCTGGGGTTGTTGGTCATTTCTGTGGCCAATGAGAGAGGCAGACGGGCAATCCAGTTCTATCCCCAAAAATGGAGGCTAAGAGGCTGGACCTTTTGGGAAGGAAAATTTATTCCACGGCCAGCCTGCAATTCTAGGTCGCAAACTACCAGGCTTTTTTGGGGAGATACAACTTTAACCTATGGGATTCCCTCCATAAGTTCAAGGACTCCCTGACCCAGGACTCGGCCCAAGAATTTAGGGCCCTTGTTGAGGCAGGTACTACAGTGGCATGGTGCTCCCTCCAAATGGTCTTAGGATGCAGCTGATTTGGCGGCCAGGGTGGTCACTTCACCGGTGGTCTTGAGGTGCAGTTCTGTAGGGCTGCTACTTGGTCGTCTGTTCACATGTTCACGTCTCACTACTCAGTTACCCAGCAAGTCCAAGACGATGCTGGCTTTGGTAGAGCAATGTTGCAAGCCGCAGAACGATGAACTCCCAGCCCGCCTCCAGGAACACTGCTTGTGAGTCACCTAGAATGGAATCGGCATGAGCAAGCACTCAAAGAAGAAACGGTTACCTACCTTTCATAACTGTTGTTCTTCGAGATGTGTTGCTCATGTCCATCCATTACCTGCACTCCTTCTCCTCTGTCGGAGTTGCCAGCAAGAAGGAACTCAGAGGGTATAGGGCTAGCAGTGCCTAATATAACGACTCATGAGTGCAGCACTCCAGAGGGCACCACAGCTGACTGTACAGACACCTCTAAGGCAAAAATCTGCAACAACTGTGCACGTGGGCATGCACACACCTACAATGGAATAGACATGAGCAACACATCTCGAAGAACAACAGTTAAGTAAGGTAGGTAACCATTTTTTATTTCTGAAGTTATGGAGGTTAACATATTTAGGTTAGGGCTTTTGATTGGTTTGGTTTAAAAGAATCTATGTTGTTTGTATTGTCGTTTCATCACCATTGATTTAGGCTGGGAGCCAAAGGGAATTGGACAATGAACTCTAATTTAAATTCAATGGGAGCTGGACTCCTAACTCCCTAAGTGCCCTTTGAAAATCCCACCCTTAGCGCTTAAACATATCACTTAGCAGTATTTTAGTGACACTTCCATTAACATTTCTCCCTTTCCCTTTGAGCTATGGGAACTTTGTCTGAAGAACACAGATCAGAGTTTCTGGTGCCAAAATTTCAGGTGCCTTTTGACGGGTGGTTTTGCTTGACCTCTAAACAGAGCAACTGACTCAACCATTTCAGATATACTGGTGCAGGTAAAAGTTCTAACTGCAACAAACCAAGCCCATTTTCCATATCCATGCTTGTTACATTAACAATAGTGACAGGTAGATGACCTATACTTGGGATACTGGCTTTTCATTTCCCTTTAGAGCAGCCTTGACTAGAAACCTTTACAAAATAAAGTAGTTTTCTGTATTATTTGTTATTGGCTTCCTTTAACTCTAGTTTTCTTCTGCTTTTGAATAGTTGCTTTTTTGAACTATTCCTTTAGCTTTCCAGATGTTCTGTAAAGAAAGCAAGGGAGAGGGAAAAGGAAGCAAAATTATTTTAAGGGTCAAAATTTCTTCCCATTCAAAGGTCCATAAACAAATAGCATCTTCCCTCCCTTCTGCCCAGCTGATAGAGAGGAACTTTATTTAATTTCTTGTTTCTTATTTTTTCCTATTCTGTTAAGTACGGACTGGCATAAGGTAAGTGCATTCTTCCTCGTATACTTATTTAGTAGAATACTAAATAAATTGGTAAAAGTTTCTCATTTATAGTTGTGAAACCTTGAAATCCAAGGAGGCATTATTCAATGGAATACACCTTACAGTTAGACACCAGGAGTGTACAGGAGCCTTACGTTTAAAACAAATGTGGGCCGTGATTTGATTTCAACAAAGTTACACCAGCAGTAAATCTGACCCTATGTATTTCATTCGTTAAATAATGGATACTTCATGAATAATGGTATACACAAAGCGTTAATCTAAGATGACTGTTTAAAGCCATTGATTTATAAGCAGCCCAGATCAGTAAGTCATTCTCATTTGATACTTGTTTCTTAGCCCACTTAGTGAACTGAGTTGCTGATCTCTATAGTTTCCATTGAAAGGGTGTCCATGTTAGAGTTGTCACCACCAGTCTGATATGGCTCATTGACACCCTTGGTGATGTTCTCAGTAGAGAATCCAGAGAGTGAATGGAACTGGAGAGTGAATCACTCTGCCCCAGGGATGTTTCCTGGACTTCAGGATTGAGGTAGGGAAGCCGACATTGCTACCATGCTAGGTGTGCTTAGTCCACTTTTACAGAGAGAGCTCCAGTCCTGGGCTTGTCCGTCTGGCACCTATCAAGATAACTAACAGCACCTACTAATAGTAATACAGTGAAGTTATTTAAAATGAACATTTAAAGTAATTTGATACTCTTATGTCAAAAAGAGTTATTTTGGTGAGTAATGAGGCAAGTATAAAAGTGTGCTTAGTCTCTTAAATGGCTAACAGGAAGTCCATCCTTAGCAACTTTCTTTTTATTAGTGTTGCCTTACATCGGTCATTGCTATTAGGTAATAGGTATGATGGCCAACAATCCAGATGGAAAAGTGAGCATAGTTATTACTGTGCTGTAACAAAATGGGCACACGGATTCCAAACACACAGGTGTAATGTAAAGTCCGTATTTCCTTGGAAGCTAAACTATAGATCATAGATAGGCATGAGTGTGTTCCCCCATTTATGCTGGTGGAGGGGAGTGAAAGTAAGTGGATCTGTTGGGAGGGGTGTAGAAGGGGAGGAGTTGCAGCTTCATGATATGGAGGCAGTTTCATTCCATGTGCGTTTGGGAGCCTTTATAGTAGAAGAGGAGAGAGCTTTAGAGCAGCGGCTCTACATGCAGTCATCTCCTTGGGACATGGTGGGTTCCTAGTGGTAAATCTGTGCTGGAATTAATGCCATAGCAAACAACCTTAACTCCTCCTCTTGGACCTTCTATCCTCCTTGGAGATATGTCACCTGGGCCATCAATGGCAGACCATCTTCTTAGGAAGCATACTTCCAATGGGCAGCACGGAGCGGCTAAGGCTTGTTCTGCTGCTCTGAAATCTGCAGGGCTGCTGTCTTTTCTCTCCGGATCCCTAAGCCCCACAGGGTTAGCAAGCTATATGTACTCCCCCATTCCCTGCTTAAGTGCTAGAATCCTACATGTTCATGAAAGAATGGAAAGGAGATGCTGAGATTTTCCCAGTTGTCATCCTCTGCTTTGGGGTTCTTGTTTAGAAGGGATGATTGGATCCCTCGTTTACAATTATTATTATATATTCTAATGTAAATGGCTATGTCATGGAAGCCGCTGATATAGGAATTGAGAGATTCAAGAAGAAAAAGGCTAATGTAGTGTCTCATGCCTGTAACGTAAAACTGTAGCTGCTTTAAGACTGTGTTGAAATATGAGCCACTATACTCTCTGCTAGCAGTTCACAGTGGTGTAAAATTTTATCTTTCTCTTCTGATTCATAATTGCTCTTTGGATTTTATGACATTTAGTACTCCTGGATACCACAACAAATTAAAAAAATATTATGGTTAAATCTCACCAGCCAAGATATACCAGTTAAAAAGATTGTTTGGTTTTTTTCACCCATGTTAATTTTTAGGTGATGGTTGCAGAAGCACTGAATATTTCGAGGGAAACCTACTTTGCAATTTTGATGGACAGAGCTTGCAATGGACCTGTTATGGTTGGCAGCCCACAGGGGGGTGTTGACATAGAAGAAGTGGCGGCTACTAGCCCGGAACTTATCTTTAAGGTATCAAAATGATATTTCAGACTCAAACTGTAATCAGATTTCCAAATGAAAAAAATGTCCTCTGTGGAAAGACATTACAGTAAATAAATAAATAACAATTTCATATAACGAAATAGAAACCTGATCCTGGGAGATGAGGAAGGTTCAGCATCTCATTTTGTTAACCCTAGACCTCTTTTCCTAATCTAGTCAAAGTCTTAGTGAGGCAATGCTCTAAATTTCACACGTTAAAGGTTGCCTGTATATGAAGCATTTTCTTAAATGTTTCTTAGTATCTTTCATGTTTCACTTTAACTAATTGGAAAGGGTGGTTAGGCTAATTCTTTTGCAGGCAGGCTTAGGGTCAATACCATGACTGCCAATTAAAAAAAACACACTTGATTTCAAAGACGGACGTTGTCAATTATTTCCTCCTCTTAGTATAGGTTTAAGTCTTGCACCTCAGATACCACTGTGTTGTCACTGTTGACATGTACTCACTGCTGAATGATGAGTAATGCATTCAAGTATTTATGATGTTTCTGTGTCTTGGTAATGAGTAGATAAGCTATTCATTTGGGCAAATAATTGATACAGACATGTATAATTATGGGGGGGGGCAAAAATATTTAATGCACATTGTGAAATTATATAAACTTAGTAATATTACTGGGCAGCAATACCACTGTCTTGGAGACTTTCCAGAAGATGTCATAAAAATTAACAACCTAAATATTCATCAACGCCATCTGTACAGTAATTAAAAATGAAAACTGGTGTCAGATTGTCTTGTCAGCATGCCACCCTGAAGAATTATATAGTTTTTTGGAAGGACTGTTTCATAGATGGTGTGATAATTATAACATACCCTATAGGCAGCTGCTATAGCCTGAATCTCCAAGAACTTTGGCAAACTGCCATACTTTAATTACTAATTTGCAAATATATACTAAGCATTTTTCTTTTCAAGTTATAAATCTCTACTCAGATTGAATATCTTAATTCTCTTTATGTACTTTATTGTAACAGGAGGAAATAGATATTTTTGAAGGTGTAAAGGACAACCAAGCATTGCAGATGGCAGGAAATTTAGGATTCAAAGGACCTTTGCAACAGCAGGTAACTTGACAGGGAAGGGTTCAATTGTCTTCAGACAAAGAGGGTGGAGGATGCCAGTTCTGCTAAGTAATAAATACCTCCTGAATGGTTCTGAGAGGCTTTATGCCTTTTAGGGTCATGCTTAAAAAGTTTGTATCTTAATAAATTCAACCTGTCTCATAACAGGTGTTGCCTATTTAGGTGCAGGTGTGTGGTGCTAACAGAAAATTTATTGTTCCTGAAATGAAATAGATTCAGTCCTTGATCTTGTGAGTTCCGTTGATTTCAGTGGGTGGAACAGATTGCCCACATGGATCCCTTTGCTGGATCAGGTCCTTAATATCTCAAATGCAATATGACAGGCATCAACAAATAGGTGTTTTGTATAGCTGAAGAATGGTTTACTTTTTTGAAGTCTGAGAGACATCAAACAAAGGCTGCCAGTTTGCTGACAGGATTCTGAGAGTAGAATTTTCAGTGCATCAGTGCTTATCTCTGTTTTATGCTAGGAATTCTATATGGTACATAATATCACAAGATACAGTGCTGGAGTGAATCACTTTGTAGACAGGAAACAGCTGTATTTCAGTTAATGTTAATAGGTGTAAAAGACAGCTATCATATGCTCTTTCTTCATACTTTTCCCCATAATATCAAAATGCCTTTCCTGTAGAATCCCTTTTCTGTAGAATCTTTGCATTTTTAATACAGCATTTCTAATTATTTTCCATCTCCCAACTGTGCAATTAACAAATGCATAATCATTAAGTTGATTTACGCATATTTGAAGATTTAGCAGTATCTTCAATGAGAGCGAATGATTATATCAAACCTTTCAACCCTTGCAAAGTTCTGGTACTTAATTATTGACAACAATACTTGGGCTGTTAAACTGAACTATTTTATACGTTTCTTTCCATGTGCCATAACCTCTTGAATGGAATTTACTGAAGTATGGAAAAGTAATGGATAGGTCAATAAATAAAAAGGTCCATTTGAATAGCAACTACTTCTGGGGTGTGAATTCTGTGCTGCTCCTCTAAAGGTATGTCTACACCTCAGAAAGACCGACTGCAGCCAATCTCAGAGCCTGGGGCTAAAACTGACTCGGAATCGCGCTGCGGGGCTAAAAGTAGCAATGTAGATGTTTTGGGTTTGGGCTGGAGCCCGGACTGTGAAACCCGGCGATGGGGGTGGGTTTCGGAGCCCAAGCTCCTGTCCCAGCCTGAACGTCTACCCTGCAAGTTTACAGTCCACTTGCTGAGCCCTGCAAGTCTGAGTCAGCTGACCCAGGCCAGCTGCACGTGTTTAATTTCCGTGTAGATCATGCCCTTAGGGTCTCAGCACAGAACTTGCAGCCTAGGGGGCAGGGAGCTGTGGTGGCTTTAAGCACCTTTGTGTCCTCTTGATTCTGGGCTGCTCTATAAGTTACAGCTGCCTTATGCTGTCTGGACTCTCCTTAACGCTGCAGGTAGTGGCCTCATCCCTGGATGCTCTGCCTGCCCTGGCAGGCCCCCTACACTAAGGCTTGCAGGAAATAGCCATAGGGCTGTTGTCTACACTCAGTGCCTCTGCTTGGGACTCCTGCCCTGATACTGGGCTTTTAGAGCCCCCTTATACCGTTCCTGCCCTTTTTCCTTGTTATGAAGGGCTCGGAGTGGGCGTGAGACTGTCATCCCAATTTATAGACCTGCTCACTGGTGCCTTAAAAATAAGAGCATGGCTAAATTCTGATGCAATAATGAATTTCTAGTAGTTAATGTTACATGAGCTCCTATTTTAATAATATATTAGTTTGCTCGCAAATTGTATTTTTTTTTTATTTATGTTGCTTTAATACACTACTATTAATGCCTCGGTTACAGGGGCGCAATTCCATGGGAGAGTCACCCATAGAACTGAGAGCAGGATTTGGCCCATTTGGTGTAGTCCCAAAGAAAGTGCAAATATATGTGCATACAGAACACGCACAATTAGAGCTTGGCAAATATCTCAGAATGAAATTTGCATTGGCTGTTCATGAACCTTTTAAATTCATTTTCTGCAGATTTTCGACTGAGCAAGTTTATTGGCAGAAATGTTTGTAGAAACTGAATTGTATGCACATATTTGTGAGAAGTGAATGCTTAATTCAAAGAGGAGTATTCACCCCAGAAATTTCATTCTAATAATTATGCCATCATCCAGTTAGGAAACAGGTTACATATTTCTGTGTCCAATTACAACTGAGACCGATAATAGCTCAAATATTAAATACAAGTAACAAACTGCTTGGCAATGGCCCATAGAACAAGAATTACTTTGAGATTATTTGGCACATATTTAATAACAAATAAGTTTTGAAACTTGGAAGTTGGTACTGGTACAATATAGATGTAAAGCACAACCATTCCCTCAATGTTACACGACGGTAGAATTTGGGTATAACTGTCCAACAGTAGTAGTGGGGTTTTTCATAAAGGTAGAAGCAACATAAAAGCAAGTTTGGTTTTCAATTTGGTTCCCTTCCTTACTTTCTGAAAGATCCCAAATGTTTTGGTTTGAGTTTTTGGTTAACTGAACCACTGACCAAGGGAAAAAGCTTTGGAATGTGTGGTTTTTGGGGTCCCAATCTTTCCGCTACCTCATTGCAACCAATAGGGTTACAATATACCAATTAATTGCAGATGGAAAGGTTGGTTTACTTGAGATGTCACATTTCCAATGCTTAAAACATAGCTGACCTGTTAATGGGGGAACAGCAGAGGTAAATAGTGGTTGAGGACTTAATATTATGTCACGGTTAGCCCTGCCCACCCCCACACACAGCCACAGAGAGAGAGAGAGAGGAGGGGGCAAAGAACAGCAGTGGGGAGCAGGAGAGACTGACTTTTAAATAAACAAACCCAATCTTTCAATTGTTGTTTCTACAGGGAAAAGTTGCATTTTGATGTAGGAGGGAGATTTATATTTTTTCTAAACAGATTCAGCAATTAATCTGCACTCATCAAATCCACATTACTTCTCAGTTTCTGAATTTAGACTCATTAACATAACTACTTAACTTGAATATCAGCATTCCGGAGAAAATATATTCATTATGAACTCAAACTTATTTGATTTTGCTTAAATTAAGCTTGTTTATATTAACGATGCTGTTCATTTTACTGAAATTCCTCAGTTTGTATACTATGAAGATAGCATTTACAAAATGTTTATCAAAACTTTTAGGCTTTATTCTTAATATTTTTGGTATGGTAAAACTCCATTTGAAGTAAATACTACTGTAATTCTCTTAATCAAGAGCTGCTGTAATCGTCTGCCGGACTTGAGATATTATGTAATTTGAGATACTAAAAGTAGATGTAAAGGTTTACTGTTCCTTTTTGTGCATGCTACTTACAAATCACTTGATCAAATTTAGGCAGCAGATCAAATTAAGAAGCTGTACAATCTTTTCCTGAAAATTGATGCTACTCAGGTTGAAGTGAATCCATTTGGTGAAACCCCAGAAGGACAAGGTAAGAAATAAAAGAAAACAAATGAATATATTATAATTCTTTCTTTATGCAAACTATTCATTAAATTTCATGGAAGGTGATAGCAGCAGCTTTGCATTAATTTCACTGTGTAATTTAATTTAAGCAATATTCATAAATGTTCCCATGATAGATTTTAACATGGCAATCAATACCTCTTATGTCATCTAAATACAGAAAGTATCAGCATCTGCATGTTGCTTGGTGACAAACATCAACTTTTTCTTACTTTTTATACAAAGTGTTTTTACTCATGCTATTGTAATTAGTGGGCTAGAGAGGAAAACACTCATTATTTTAGGATTTCATCTTGAATGTACAGGTAAGTTGCAGTTATAGGTGCATGACTATGAAAGATATCAGAGCATAGGAGAGAGGAAGACCTGTTGGGCTAATGGAGTTCACACCTGACTGTATCCTTTGGGAAGGTAAAGGGTGGTGGATTTGCCTCACCTGTGGAAGTAGGTATAAGACTGTGCAAGATAAAGATGGGAAGCCGCTTTATCTTGCACTTTGCGATGTGACGGAGAGACTGCTGAGACTCATCAAGCCCTTGGATCGCTACCCCTTCCTGCTTCTCCACGTGGGCACCAATGATACTGCCAAGAATGACCTTGAGCGGATCACTGCGGACTACGTGGCTCTGGGAAGAAGGATAAAGGAGTTTGAGGTGCAAGTGGTGTTCTCGTCCATCCTCCCCGTGGAAGGAAAAGGCCTGGGTAGGGACCGTTGAATCGTGGAAGTCAACGAATGGCTAAGCAGGTGGTGTCGGAGAGAAGGCTTTGGATTCTTTGACCATGGGATAGTGTTCCATGAAGGAGGAGTGCTAGGCAGAGACGGGCTCCACCTTACGAAGAGAGGGAAGAGCATCTTTGCGAGCAGGCTGGATAACCTAGTGAGGAGGGCTTTAAACTAGGTTCACCGGGGGAAGGAGACCAAAGCCCTGAGGTAAGTGGGAAAGCGGGATACCGGGAGGAAGCACAGGCAGGAATGTCTGTGAGGGGAGGGCTCCTGCCTCATACTGAGAATGAGGTGCGATCAGCAGGTTATCTCAAGTGCTTATATACGAATGCACAAAGCCTTGGAAACAAGCAGGGAGAGCTGGAGCTCCTGGTGATGTCAAGGAATTATGACATGATTGGAGTAACAGAGTCTTGGTGGGATAACTCACATGACTGGAGTACTGTCATGGATGGTTATAAACTGTTCAGGAAGGACAGGCAGGGCAGAAAAGGTGAGGGAGTTGCATTGTATGTAAGAGAGCAGTATGACTGCTCAGAGCTCCGGTACGAAACTGCAGAAAAACCTGAGTGTCTCTGGATTAAGTTTAGAAATGTGAGAAACAAGAGTGATGTAGTGGTGGGAGTCTGCTATAGACCAGGGGAATGAGGTGGATGAGGCTTTCTTCCGGCAGCTCGCGGAAGCTACTAGATCGCACGCCCTGGTTCTCATGGGTGACTTTAATTTTCCTGATACCTGCTGGGAGAGCAATACAGCGGTGCATAGACAATCCAGGAAGTTTTTGGAAAGCGTAGGGGACAATTTCCTGGTGCAAGTGCTAGAGGAGCCAACTGGGGGGGGGGAGCTTTTCTTGACCTGCTGCTCACAAACCGGGAAGAATTAGTAGGGGAAGCAAAAGTGGATGGGAATCTGGGAGGCAGTGACCATGAGTTGGTTGAGTTCAGGATCCTGACACAGGGAAGAAAGGTAAGCAGCAGGATATGGACCCTGGACTTCAGGAAAGCAGACTTCGACTCCCTCAGGGAACGGATGGGTAGGATCCCCTGGGGGGCTAACATGAAGGGGAAAGGAGTCCAGGAGAGCTGGCTGTATTTCAAGGAATCCCTGTTGAGGTTACAGGGACAAACCATCCCGATGTGTCGAAAGAATAGTAAATATGGCAGGCGACCAGCTTGGCTTAACGGTGAAATCCTAACGGATCTTAAACATAAAAAAGAAGCTTACAAGAAGTGGAAGGTTGGACATATGACCAAGGAAGAGTATAAAAATATTGCTTGGGCATGTAGGAATGAAATCAGGAGGACCAAATCGCACCTGGAGCTGCAGCTAGCGAGAGATGTTAAGAGTAACAAGAAGGGTTTCTTCAGGTATGTTGGCAACAAGAAGAAAGCCAAGGAAAGTGTGGGCCCCTTACTGAATGAGGGAGGCAACCTAGTGACAGAGGATGTGGAAAAAGCTAATGTACTCAATGCTTTTTTTGCCTCTGTCTTCACGAACAAGGTCAGCTCCCAGACTGCTGCGCTGGGCATCACAACATGGGGAATAGATGGCCAGCCCTCTGTGGAGAAAGAGGTGGTTAGGGACTATTCAGAAAAGCTGGACGTGCACAAGTCCATGGGGCCGGACGAGTTGCATCCGAGAGTGCTAAAGGAACTGGCGGCTGTGATTGCAGAGCCATTGGCCATTATCTTTGAAAACTCGTGGCGAACCGGTGAAGTCCCGGATGACTGGAAAAAGGCTAATGTAGTGCCAATCTTTAAAAAAGGGAAGAAGGAGGATCCTGGGAACTACAGGCCAGTCAGCCTCACCTGGGTCCCCGGAAAAATCATGGAGCAGGTCCTCAAAGAATCAATCATGAAGCACTTAGAGGAGAGGAAAATGATCAGGAACAGTCAGCATGGATTCACCAAGGGAAGGTCATGCCTGACTAATCTAACCGCCTTCTATGATGAGATTACTGGTTCTGTGGATGAAGGGAAAGCAGTGGATGTATTGTTTCTTGACTTTAGCAAAGCTTTTGACTTGGTCTCCCATAGTATTCTTGTCAGCAAGTTAAAGAAGTATGGGCTGGATGAATGCACTATAAGGTGGGTAGAAAGTTGGCTAGATTGTCGGGCTCCACGGGTAGTGATCAATGGCTCCAGGTCTAGTTGGCAGCCGGTGTCAAGTGGAGTGCCCCAGGGGTCGGTCCTGGGGCCGGTTTTGTTCAGTATCTACATAAATGATCTGGAGGATGGTGTGGATTGCACTTTCAGCAAATTTGCGGATGATACTAAACTGGGAGGAGTGGTAGATATGCTGGAGGGCAGGGATAGGACACAGAGGGACCTAGACAAATTGGAGGATTGGGCCAAAAGAAATCTGATGAGGTTCAATAAGGATAAGTGCAGGGTCCTGCACTTAGGACGGAAGAACCCAATGCACAGCTACAGACTAGGGACCAAATGGCTAGGCAGCAGTTCTGCGGAAAAGGACCTGGGGTGACAGAGGACGAGAAGCTGGATATGAGTCAGCAGTGTGCCCTTGTTACCAAGAAGGCCAATGGCACTTTGGGATGTATAAGTAGGGGCATAGCGAGCAGATCGAGGGACGTGATCATCCCCCTCTATTCGACATTGGTGAGGCCTCATCTGGAGTACTGTGTCCAGTTTTGGGCCCCACACTACAAGAAGGATGTGGATAAATTGGAAAGAGTCCAGCGAAGGGCAACAAAAATGATTAGGGGTCTGGAACATATGACTTATGAGGAGAGGCTGAGGGAACTGGGATTGTTTAGTCTGCAGAAGAGAAGAATGAGGGGGGATTTGATAGCTGCTTTCAACTACCTGAGAGGTGGTTCCAGAGAGGATGGTTCTAGTCTATTCTCAGTGGTAGAAGAGGACAGGACAAGGAGTAATGGTCTCAAGTTGCAGTGGGGGAGGTTTAGGTTGGATATTGGGAAAAACTTTTTCACTAGGAGGGTGGTGAAACACTGGAATGCGTTGCCTAGGGAGGTGGTGGAATCTCCTTTCTTAGAAGTTTTTAAGGTCAGGCTTGACAAAGCCCTGGCTGGGATGATTTAATTGGGGATTGGTCCTGCTTTTGAGCAGGGAGTTGGACTAGATGACCTCCTGAGGTCCCTTCCAACCCTGATATTCTATGATTCTGTTGGTTGCTTTTTCTGATATAACCCTACCTTTCTGCACTCTTGGTATATTAATGACACTAGCTTGTCGTCGTCTTAGCAATTTACTGACATGTACAGTACACCATTTATGTTTCTTCTGGGTTTGCCCCTGTCTCTTTACAACGTTGTAAATGCATTGAAAGAGTATAGACTTGAAAAAATAATAGTAAGTTACGTTTGGTGCAGTAGAAGGATTAGTTTGAATTTAAGAGAAGCGGTGGAGGACAAAAATATCACACTAATCCTTTTCATCAAGTCATTAATAATGGGACAAACCGCAAAAGTCTTAGATATTCAGGTAAACCTTCAGGACAGAATTGAATGGAGCAACAGCATCTAACCTGGCAGGAAGAGCTGTAAAGAATGGCATTAATTCTTGGGAGATGTGTTCCATGGAAGAGCAGTGAGAAGAGGATTTATTTCAGGAGTGGCATAACGGCTCAGGAGGGTATGTCAGGGAAAAGGGTGTGGTCAAGTAGAGTGCTGATGCAAGGAGTTGGTATGAAGTGCAAAGGATGGCATAACTCAAAGCTGAATCTGTGTTTCAGCGGAGTGTAAGAGCAGCAGATTTCTCATTCATTTCAATGGGCAGCAACCACATTTGGAAAGACTCAATCAGCCATTGTGTTATACAACCGTGATGGAATTTTTCAAAGACGAGGGAGTGGGGATTGTTGGGCTGGCTAACGCTAAGTATTAAAATAAATAAAATGTATTGTCAAAGTAGAATATGACATCCATGCTGCTCTTTGTGATAGTATTGTAGCAACTAGTTGGTGGAAAATTATTCACACACATACTTACATTTAGATATAATATAAAATTGTAGGTTTAATTTAAAAGCTACTGTTAAAATAATGAATGCTAAATGCATGTGCACACAGGTGCTTAGTACACATTCCCATTATCAGCCCCAGATCACTTTTGGGTTTATCATCTACACATGAACATAAGAATGGTCGTGGTGGGTCAGACCACTGGTCCATCTAGCCCAGTATCCTGCCTCTGACAGCGGCCAGTGCCAGATGTTTCAGAGGGAATTAACAGAACTGGGCAGGTTTCAGAGTAACAGCCG